TCGTGAGCATCGCATCCCCTGAGATGTGCTATCGGACGCAGGCACTTCAACCTCAACCCATTAAGATAACGGTAAGTATGCTGAGAGGAATTTTAACGGTAAAGGGGGAGGAAATACCTATAATAGCTCCAATGGAAGATCACAAGTTACCAATCCTATGCCTCCAAAAAAAAGTTGAAAAGAAAAAAAAGTTCAGACACAGTTTGATCAACAACACTGACGAGTTCATCCAAAGTATATCCAGAGCGTGCTTTAAGTGTGGCTTGCGGAACCACATTCATCTGCACTATTCCGAGGGATAGCTGGTTGCAACCGTAAGGGCAAACCTGTTTTAAGGGTTTGTTCTTTCCAAAAAATGATGCCGTGGGATACGGCATTTCTGTTCTTAACAAAATCAATATCCAGAACTATTGATTTTGAGGTGCCTTCGCTTATGTAGCTCCGTAAAAGTAAGCGGCTCAGCTGTACTCAAAGAGGCTAAAGATCTGTGAGAGTAGTGAGCTGAGGACTACGGGCAGGATTTGGCCGTCGGAATACGGATGGCTTAGACGTAGCCCGCATTATCCTAACGAGGCTTTCTTGCATCACGAGTGAAACGTTAAACTACGAGCTGCAAGTCAAGAGAGGTAGAAGTCCTAAACGTAATGGCACGGGAAAATCCCCAGGAACAGACTACTAGCGCGACAACCGGGTCGAGGGGTTTCTAGGGGAGGAGCAGGGGAAAGGTAGTGTATACGGAGATTAGATAATATAAGCAGAATGAGAGCAAGAGTGAGAAGTGTGAAACGGCTTTAGAAAGGGGCGAGAGGACGAGGAGAGAAAGGGGAAATGTAAGCGGGGAGGTTAAGGGGATGAAGCACGACTGATCGTGTGCTCGTCCATGCTTAAACTTAACCCTTCGGAGTCCTCTAGGGAAAGACGTAAGAGCCAACTTTACTGAAAGATTCGATGGATGGGGCAATGAGTGAACCCAGATCGTGACTTTACTATGCACGTGTTTCAGGAGCATACATGGAGGTTTCATGTACTCAACTTAAATGCCTAACACAGCATATTGGACTTAGTTAATGATAGCTTTAAGAGTAAACGGCATTCCTTGAGGGTATTAAGGCCTCGAGTACCATAAGCTGAAGCTTATTAGGCGGGATGCTTATGTTAGAGTATATCTCTCCTTCGCATTAGAGGATCGTTTATGATTGTAAGTCGTTGTAGGTTCCAGAGGACGAGAATGCGCCAATAGAGAGGGTAGGGCTTGTAATATCTTAAATACGATTGTTGATAATGTCAATAACATGAGGTTAATAATTTATATAATCATCGTATCCCATCAATCATACTGTACAGCGAGACCAGAACCTCCCATACTCGATACCAAGTGCAGGGGCGAGAGCTGACTGGACTCGATATTTATTTTATTGGCCTGGGCTGTTGGGAAGAAAAGTCGTTTTGGAGGTTCGAATCTAAACAACCACATGTACGAGACTTGCTGAAGACTAAATGCATCACTCAAACGAGCTATGCTCACAACGCTAGAAAGTGCCGTTCAAAGGGCCCTTATGTGTCCCTGAAGCATTATATTAGTATAAGTTGTACCAAGCATTTGTGACGCTTATGAACAGGAGATGAGAGGTATGCACTTACAGCAAAGACAACGTAAGGTCACCATGCAATCTAGCCTTGAGGGTGACCTCAACCTCAATATTCAGATCAAGTCTTAGCTTAAGGGTGTCGCTCTTGCCGCCATCGTCGCCGCCTTGAGGTTGCTGCATCATCTGCTGCTGCGCCATCTGCATCTGTTGCTGCTGATAGAGTTGTTGCGGATCTTGCATCGGCTGCATGGCCTGCTGCTGACCTTTTCCTTTACGCCCGCGGCGGCGACGATTGGGAGAACGGGATGGCGACACGGAGCTTTCTGAGGGGCTCGCGCTCTCGGCGTAAGGTGCGGGCTTGGCTTCGGTTTCGGACATTTTGGTGGCTCAATTTAATAACAGTTGTTCTAGTTGAAAGCCAATACAATGCTAGAGGATTAGATAACGCGAGAGCAGGAGAGTCCGCGCCCTAGCTATAGTCCTGAAAACCTATGTGGTTAGGATACAAGTATCTGGACAGGTCATTCCCATGGACAGCGGGCACTATTAAAGTATTATAAAGGCTATGTAGCCGCATTTTAGGGTTCCCACGTAATAGATCGTGCTATCTCAGAAAAAAACAGGGCAAGGTTTGATATGCGGGCTTTGTTCACGTCACTAGCTGTCGTGTGTTTGGCTAAGAAACTTGATTTTGCGACTATGAGATAGAGAAGATCGAGATTGCGGAGGATTTGACGTGGTTGTACAGCGATAATCCTGGACTGTGTAGCCGGTGGGGTAACCGACATCATTTTCCTGTCTGTGGCTGAACACAAGGTCCCTGAAACTTACCCCTGTCTGACTGTAGTAATTTCAAAACACCATAGCTAGAGGGAGTCAAGATGCCTCAGGCTAAAGACTTTCGTCCAGTTTTGCAACGGTAAAGATCACGTCAGTAGTAGGGCACTTTTATTTTTCGTATGACTTCCTCTTCTCCACTGTCTGGCTTTTCTAGCTTTTACATTAGCAAGGACCCGGGAACTCGTTCATGGTCTGCCGCATCGCCGTATCCGGAGTATTCGCATAGACCCGGTCTCCCTTCCCGTTCACGATATGGCTGATCTCGCTACCGGGTGTACCTGTCAGCCACACCGTGGTCAAGTGGTGCAACTTGACACTTTCGACTGCAGGAACTTCAATGGCATTCTCCAATTTTGTAGGCGAGTCGCGGAAGTACGAGTAGATTCCTAAACCCCAGGCCTCATGGCTCGTCACGGTGTCAGCTACCTTATACGAGGCGAAGCCGTTGGTTCTGCCACACATCCATGACCTCTGATCCGGCGGGTCGTAAGGAATCTCAGACTGATAGAAGTATAGCCGACCACCATTGCCCTTCCAGAGCGTCTGGTATTCTTTATGATGCTCATTGAACAGCCCGTATATCGTTACATCTTCACCGTTGACGACGACTCCGTTCTTGGTCGGATTCGAGTTCCACGTGGCCCCCTCGCCATGGTCGGCACGCCATAGCCATAATTGATCACCAACTACGTTGTGACTGTTGATTGTTATGCCTACATCGTTCTTGCAGCAGCCGGCTGTGCGTACGGTCAGGTCATAAAGAAACGTCGGGTTGGACGCATGGTTAGCGGAGCTGTCGCTTGGTCCAACTTCGACCAGAGTTGGTGATGCTACTTCTCCAGCGTCGATGATTAATCCTGCTATCGTCACGCCACTAACGTCAGCCACGGAAATTGCTGGGCGCCCATTAATAGGAATAAGTGATGGCTGTCCTAGCCCAAGAATGACAGCACCGGCCTTTGCTACTTGTATCGCGTCGTCAAGCTTATAGATGCCAGGCGTGAACAGGATGTGCTTTCCTGCATCCAAGGCCATGTTGATGCTAGCTGCACACGCGTTCGTTGGGTGCGCTATGTGGAAATCATCCATTGTGATAGACTTGCCCGGCGTTACAGCTCCGTTGACCCAACTCGGTCCCTGAGTATTTGTCTGCATAGCAGGTATGAAAACCTCGTACCGGTTCTCGGCAGTAACATAGATGTATGGCTTTTCTCGAATAACTGGTGTCCTTTCCACAGTGGTATAAGGAGTAGTTGGGAAGTTATCTTGGCTTGGGGCGTCTGCGTCACCCACGAAGACCATGTTCCACACTCCGTTCGCCCAGCTACCGTACTTATTGTTTCGTGAAAGCCACTGCTGCTGCGAGCCAGGTAGAACCGTATGGTCCACTACTGAGTCGGCCATGAAGCCGCCTGAAGCCCAACCTCCAGCTCCGCTGTTCGGGTCAACTTGAAAGAGCCAAAGCCCACCGGAACTCCGAATATGCATTCGCCGAATCGGAGCGGCTTGCGACACGGCTATGGTAGTTGTATTATTGGTGGCCGGTGATGCGTTAATGGCGAAGTTCTCGAAGGTGCGCCAGAAATTACATGTGGCGTTGCGGTTCGGCATCCAGTATGCCGGTACGTTTACTCCGCCTTCAATGAGCACGTCGTCTGGATTCTGTCCTAGACCTGCTACATGGGTGTAGAAGCCAACATCAAAGACAATGTTATAGGTTCCTGGTCTAAAAAGCAATGCATAGCGTTCTGTACCGAACTCGTTGGCCTCCATCTGTTTGAAGATGGCTGTTACCTTATCTTGTATGGCCACCATCGGCATACTAGGATCGAAAACGTAGACATTAGGACCAAAGACTGTCCGATTCGCATTCAAGATGGAAGTACCCTCCGCCATCTTGAGCCTTAGGGATCAGCTGCTCAGGCAGGTAACCAGCGACGCCGCTGTGGCTACCAACTCTAAGCCTGATGGGCCACTTTGCGCCACTTGTTTGTATTTCTGTCGAGTGGGCAATATTCAATAGTGCTCAAGAGATCTCTTATTCAAAACATCGATACTTGCTTGGCATGAAACCAAAGAAGTGGGTTGTCGACAGAATAAAGATGGATTGAGGGAGATGATGTACAGCGGGCTAATAATGTTTTGCCCTTTTACAACGCGCGCAATGGTTTAACATCCCACCTTCTTTTACCCCGCTATAGCATAGCATACGGGCCTATCCGTATAAAATCCAACGAGCAGCACCTTTTTATTTGCAGGTCATGACAATGCAGCCTAGTGCCAAGTTGCACCAAGACAGGCCAGTTTAGATGAGATTAAGGATAGATTTCGGCTCCTTGAAAGAGGTAGTCTCCCATTTCTGACGTCTTTAGAGTTTATAACGTCTAATCCACTATATATAAATATAAAAGCCGCTTATCATTAAAGAGAGTCTGCGAGGTGGGGCTCCTCGCTGCACCAGTGACTATATTCACATCCATACACCACGCCCACACTATGTATTTACGTCTTGTTTTGTCAATCAAAACCCAGGCGTTTATTAATTTTAAATAACAGCCGATTTTTCCAACAGCCTCTATGGCGTAGTGGTAGCGCGTCGCACTGTATGTCTCACCTACTTCTTCTAAATTGTAAGCAATTGTTCGCTAACATCATTACAGTGTAGCCATTACAAGATCATGCGAAGGTCTCTCGTTCGATCCGGGATGGAGGCAAACATCTCTTTTTTGGCCAATTCTGTCAGCTCTTTCGGTTGGTTACTATCTCTTATTTTTTCCAATTTGCACTTAGTGAAAATCCACTAGACGTTAGTTAGTATGTTGGTACTTCATGCTTGTGTAGTAGTATATATAATAAGCCCCTACATGCAGGGGCTTATTATAATTAGTAAGCCAATGACTAACTAGCTTTACCACCCGGAGCAGCCAAGAATAGTTACAGTCACTGAGCGTTAGCAATAATAATGCAAACACATGGTAATCGGTAAATAAGGACGTCGTGTAAAGTTCTACGCACATAGTAAAGAATATGGTGCTAATGATATATGATGTACTAAGTACGCACTGTTCTAAGAAGAGTGTATGCTTTGTTTAGTAAATTTACAAAGCCTCAATCCAGGCCGCGCTCTTCACCTTAACTTAGTTATTTTAATAGAAGTATCAAGCATATCATCAGTCACATTGCAGCTTTCTACGCTCAAGAAGTTTTGTACATCTGGGTCGTCCAGCTTAGATTGCTCTTACCTTTGTCCTAAGCCAAATTTTGGAATATAGTATTATTATACAGCTGCGAGAACAAGACATCATACAACCCTAGGATATAATAAGCCTTGACATTGAGGGCACTATTTTATCGACAGATAAGCCTCAAAAAAGCTTATCTCGTATAATTACTAAGACTATGTGTGGCGAGAGAGTTTGATATTGACAAATCCTCAATTAACCTGAGACACTGTACTTTGCTGTAATCTCACTGCCTCCATTCGTCCCCCAAAAACTCCAGATAGGCCCCTTTGACAACTGCTTGTTGCAAATGTAGGGTCTGGCATAGCGCTACGTGATGTCCATAGCTACTTGGCTGTCCATTTTGAGCCTTAGTGTCGGTGACGACGGCTGCGATGATGGCGGTCGTCTCGGCGCCTATCTCGGTCTCGGCCACTGACACGGTTGAATATGTTTCCGACAACATCCCTGGCGGCTTCACCAACTTGTCGTCCCCACTCATTTGCTTGATCTTGACATCTTGGGCAAAGCTCTAGCGTATCGGAGTTTAATTCTCGCCTGATCTCAAGAATGGTTGGCTGATGGGGGCAACCTCTTCGAGTAGAATCTGACAACGTAAATGTTACTAGAAATCACGACCGTATTTCTGGTTCCCTAAGGCCCGCAGCATGCTAGGAAGATCGAAAAAGGGAGCTGAAGATATTTACCTCGGCATTCCCGGACGAGTTCAAGAACACTTCGTAGCTTTTTCCTTTGGCACGCGGAGCACAAAATCTCGATTTTGTTGAACCCACACATCACTGCTGAAAATACTCTGGTATCGTAAAAGGAGTTATTTTTGCTTGTGCTTTATGTCCGAAGTAAATGATGCGAGTGCCTAAAACAGAATTTAGCTAAGGTCTTAGGAAGTTAGATGTCTTTTATATAGAAACAGAATCGAGTCTTTATCTCAATTGACTTTATGAGACATTAAAGCATGTTCTTTCGCAACTGGAGTACATGATACTACTCTGTATTGTGTGTTATGATTCGACGCTATTCTTTGACTATTGCCATTCTTTTATAATTGTCACTGTTTGACCGGTGCTATTGTGTGATCAGCGACGGTAACGCCATCTTGTGACCCATTCATTGATGGAATAGCTTGAGAGTGATTGGTAACCGCAACTATATCACGACTTATGATACCATGTACAAAGCAGATATTAAACACTCAGTATGAAATGTGTGCTGGCTCATTGTGGCGGTGTGGTAGCCGTCAGGGCTCCGTTTTGCAATTATCATATTAACCTCACCTCTAACTATTTACTTAGCTTATTAATAGAATCGAAACAGTCAAAGCTCAGGTTCTATCAGGGTCTAATGTGGCCTAGGGGTCAAATAAGAGCTACAATATGTATGTAAGGGGCTTCGCCCCTTATGAACCCATGGCTATTGAAGCTTTAGCTGTTCTTGTCGACCTAGTTACCTGGATTCGACCCTATGTACTCTGTGCGCTGAGCTAAGGTTAGGAATATAGAGGTGTTGTACAGCTGCGAGAGCAGGACATTATACGCGTCTTCAATGGTCATGGTGTCGTCATTTACCGAGTACACGACTGTTCCATATCCTGCCATTAATTCAATGAATGGAGGCAAGATCTCATCCGTTTTCTCCATCCGAGTCTCGAATCTCGCCGCGTCTTCATTACCCCTACTACGCTGAATATATCGCTTTTTAGCGACATCTCTAGGACATTCGATCACGATTGTTAGTCCCGAGAAAGAGGCGATGAAGTCTTGTATGAGATGTTTGGAAATCGGACCCGTCGTTAGTGGGAGCCCATCGAGGATAAAAGCCTTATACTTACCTTCAGCTCTCGCCTCGTCGAGCTTCTCTCGCAAAATATCAGATGCAAGAACAATCGTGCGTTTGTTGTTGACCTTAAAGTTGTGATACAGTAATACAACTGGCACCGGGTTATATCGCGCCAACAGCTCTGCAGGGATTTCCTTATGTTCGACCACATACTTGTTTATATCGTCTGGCATACCCGGGATTGGGCCCATTATTGCCTGCCAATAAGAGCGTCGTGCGTCCCCCATTGATAAGTGATAGAAGCCGAAGTCAGAAGCTAGCTTTCTACCGAGGGTGCCTTTGCCGCATGCTGTGGCGCCGGTGAGGATGATAATCGGGAGCGACATTTTTGACTATAGTACTAGCTCTTGAGATGTGGCCGTTTAGGATATTAAGTACCAAATGTGCAGTGGGCAGTTACTGACTGTGATGGTTATATGCCTTGTTTCCAGGGTGAGGGTGATTTGGATGACTTTTTGCATATTTTTATGTAACCTGCCAAGCTAAGACTTTTAGAAAATATTCATGTAGTTCTTTAACTGTACCTTTGTTTACTTTTAGTCCCAACAAAGCTGAATTATTTTCAGGCCTTGAAACATCAACCTCTAATTATATGGCTTTTACTCCTAGGCCGCTAAAATGAAACATATCTCTATGGTGCATTAATCATGGTGCATTAATCCTCTTTCAATGCCTGTATCTTATCAGAAGCTATAGCGGATGTAAGTACTTACTAATGGGTACGTTACTGTAACTTTTATCCTAAATAGTAGCTATTTTTAAAAGTAGTTATGGAAGCGGGTTAAAGTAGATGCTTCTTCAGTACCTGATTCTGACCTAATCGTCAGGCCTACGCTATATTAAGACGCCAGAGTCAATAATAGCAGCTGGAAAGGAAGAGTTGTAAATGCCACTGATGGTGACGGAGATCGCCGCACAGGACACGCGAGGCAAGCTTTTTTAAACTGATAATTAACAGCTCGTATCTAGGGTCTGCGGAAACTGTCAATATACTGATCAATATCCCCCATCCTCAACAATTTAGAATTTCCTGTAGGCTAACGAGTCTAGATGATGTGAAGACCATTACGGTTAGATAAAAGATATAGTTCAGGCTTAGTGGTGTCAGTTATGTGTCCCTGACCCCCCGAAGCCTCCGTAATTGCTCTCGGGCAACTGTATATATTCAGGTTCTACGATGTATGCACCTTAGATAATCAGTAATTAGTTGCTTTGTAATGCTCTATAATTCCCGAGTACGTAAGTTGTAATTGAATCCTAGCGCTGTTGTTGCCAGCATTCTGAACGGCTAAAGCACTACCCGTTTTTGCGCCACTGCCGAATACAAAGCTGAAATTGCGCCTCTGGTGGTTAACATCTTTGTTTGTTCCGTGATTGTTCAGGAAGTTTGTTCAGAAACTGTCCTTTACCAATCCACTGCAACAATATAGCCTTTATCCGGTCTCAGTAACTGCAACCTCCATAACAAGGTACACATGACTTTGACAGAACATCCAGTTCTCTCTAAGGATGCAATACTGCTTGAAACAACAAGTGTTGTCCTATAATTATATGTGTATTTAGACCTAGATTAGATCTGTGTAATCAATTTGCACTAAGAGCTAGCACCAATAAACTTGAAATGAATTTGATGTCAAAGCTAGGTTATAAGCCCACAATCGACCGATCATTCTAGTCACCTACTATGTGAAGCTATTCAGGGACTGGGGCTATTGTTAACGTTGCATCTGCCTCTTATTCGGGCATTGCCTGCTAACCTGCCAACCCCGAACAAGTAACTCTACCTAACATCCCACGATACGCTCACAGTCGACTCTGGTCAATGCTTAATCACCAGTGCTCTTGTACCCAGCCTGTCGCATACCTTTCCCCTCATCTACCAAGAGCGTGACAACCATGCAGAAAAGAAACAATGCTGCGCTTATCGCCGCTGGTAACCGGAGGTTGTTGATGGCATCCATAATTGGACCATTTACAATTTGGGGGATCCATACAGTACCGAGTGAGAACACAGACTGAAATCCAAAGTACTTGGTCTCGTTGCCCTGCGGAAACAGCTTCGAGAAGAGAACTTTGAAAGCAATGGAAGCGATGCTCGAAGATATCGACTGGAGAACCTGGAAGAAATAGAATTCCCAACGATGTTTAAAGCCGACTGCGACTGATGGGGAAATGCCGATCGCGCACCAAAGAGCACAGAAGCAGGTGATTGCATAACAAAGAATTGTCCAATGCCGTAATGTCATTCCAATACGGTTCTTCAATACCGGTCGTAGGTAGAGGAATACTACGGTGCTGATTACTGAGGTGGCTGGGCCAGTGAGTGAGTAGTAAGTAAACTCCCGCACATTCGGCCGGATATTGAGGTTGAAAAGCTGGCCTGTGACGGAACTGAACGAAAATAATGCATCATTGTAGACAGTGAAGCGTAGAAGGTATTTGAAGGATTCTGGATATTTCCAGATCTGCCGGAACAGAAGCGCAAACGTTGTCAAAGGGAGCATAAGCCAGTCTCGAGCACCCTTGTGGATCTGCCCGCTACTAGGCTCTGGAGCAGGGAGAAGGCGCCAAGCGATAAGGGAGAGAATAATGCAGAGGGCACCGGATGCTGTTGTGGTATAGAGCCCGGCATAAAC